CCTTCCATCCTCCTTTCATCAAGAGGCCAGATACTTTCTTGTGTTTCCAACAGGGTTTTCTAGAATGGCCAATAAAAACTATAATGATGGTAAAGATTAGAATGACACCAATAATGAAGATAATCAGAAGTAGATTGTAATAGGCATCATTTGTTGGGAAGTGCCAAATCTGGTGCCAAGTTGTTTATATATTTTGTCATCTATAATCCTCAAAACACTCACATGAGTTGGGTATCAACACCATCCTGCAAAGGAAGCCAAGACTCAGGGCAGTTGCCTAGGGTCCAGACGTATGGAGGCTGGCAGTGGACCAAGCCAAACCAAATCCAAATCTCAAGCTCTTGAGTATTCCCTAAGAACTTCCCAGGAAGAACCCAAACACACTTGAGGTAGGGAAGTCCTTACCTTGATCTGACCATAACTCGGAAGAGGAAGGCTGCTTGGGACTTGGCCCAAACAGGGGTTTCCATAACTTCACTGGTCCTCAGAGTCCCTGAGACTTAGTGACCAGTCTGATGCCCAAAGGCCTGAAGACAAGGACAAATTTGATTTTAGGAGAACACAAACTCATGACAGTTAAGGCCAGCACTAGCTATTATAGTGTGAATTTGAAACTCAAATTCTCACTTGGTTTACACTGCTTTCTTTTTGCTCAGCATCTTGGGATGCTAGGGTGGCCATGACTTTATTTGCTCAGTTGTTCCCTGTATGGAGCCTGCAGGCTTGAGGTGCCAGCTGTCATCATGGAGAAACTGAGGCGTGTGGTGTGTATAGACATTAAATCCAGAGCTGGATCCAGGAAGGGATTCCAGCCTGCAGTCCCTAACCTCCACAATTATTCTGCTCACTTCTGAGCCCTGGATATTAACCAAGATAGTGATTCCCTTTACCCCCAAATTAACCTAGGCACATGGCGTCTGCAAGATCTGGATTTTCCACTGAGATCTCTATGTACAAAGACTCAAAACCCATAGATGAGGGGGGAGATTATGGCTCCCAAGTACCTGTAGACTACTCTGCCCTTCTTGTGCACGGAATTCAGCCAAGGAAGGAATTGTGAAGGAATTCAGCCAAGCCTTGCCTCTTGGCTGACCTGAACCTGAGAAGTCCTGAGAATAAACTTGCATGCTGTCAGAACAGGGCTAGGGCTGGAGGGTCCAAGGGAGGAATGGCTGCATCCCAACCTCTCCTCTGGCTGGTCCACAGGTTCCTGTTCCTGAAGATCGTGGCTGTACTCACTGAACTGCGCAGCATCAATGCCCAGCACACCCAGAGGCTGCTGCGCATCCAAGACACACACCCCTTTGCCACACCCCTCATGAGAGAGTTGTTCAGCCCCACAGATGGCTGAGTGGCTGCTCTTGGGTGGAGCCTCAGTGGGACAGCCAGACCAGAGCTCGCCAAGCTGCCATTTCTGGGGCTACACAGATGGACACCACAGCTGGCTAGCATTCCTCAAAGAGGGGACTTGAGTCTCCCAGTCCTCAGTTCAGACTGTGGACAGGGAAGCCATGGACCCTATGTGCAGCATGAGCTGGCCTATTTAGGTCAGGACCGTTAGAGGCCAGGTTGCCCTTCTCTTAGACAAAGTTCTGTGGTCCAGTAATAAATCCCCAAATCCCACTAAATCCCTTTAAGTATTGTGGTGGGTGGAGGGGAAGGAGCTAGAGGCTGGGTTTCCATCATTACCCCAGATTACAGGCTTGAGTCTTTTCACTGCTACCTCTAAAGGTCCTGCCTTCCACTCCCCGCTCATTCCCATCCTCAGCCTCTTGCCCTGAGTTGCCAGGTGGGTTCCAGGCCTGTGCTCATCGGCAGGTGCATATCTGTGGTGTCTTTGAGAAAAGCTGAGAAGCCCGCACTGAATGTCAGAAAGTGGTCATAACCTCACGCTGAGCACGTCATTCTGTGTCTCTGCATCTACTCAAACCCATCATTAAGCACCAACACTGTGCAGTCTGCTGTGGGGTGGTGTACAGTGTTGATTTAGATGCGGATCCTGACCTTGAATAGTTCATATTTATGACAACAAAAGATGAAACACCAATGATGCAGACCAAAAGGACAATCCACACATAAGAAGCACGAGGAACATTTTTGTGTGGATGCTGAGCTGCACTGAGATTTTGTGGGCACCTGGGCCCAGTGAAGACTTCCTAGGATGTGCTTATGGAAAAAAGGGTTGGGAACTGTGTCTGTGGGTACCTGTATGTGAGTTAGCACAGGTCTATCTGCTCTCCATCTGACTGGGCCTGGGTTTGCTCCTGAGGCTGGTTAACAATTGTGTGCTGTGACAAGGCTACAGTGACAGTGAATAAATGTGCTAGAGTAAAACCATTTGCACACACTCGTATTCCTGTGTCAATATGCTGTTCTCCAAAATGAAAAATGTGGGAGTGTCAGCCTTGTTATAGCTATTTGTGAGTAAAACTGTTTGCATTGTCACAAGTTTAATTTTACCTAAGGCACTTAATACATTATTTACATTATTATCTTAATAAGATAATAATATATTATCTTATTAATTTAATAAGGCATTTAATAGTTTTAGCAAATGTGTTCCTGGTTTAATGTCAAATCAAGGAAAAAGGTTTGGCTAAAGATGTAAAACAATGTTGGGGAAGAAAGAAATGTGGGAGTGGGGAAGTAGAAATAAAAATACAGACACACACATATATACATTTTTTCACTACTTATTGCCTTTTATACATCGGAAAACCGTTGGTCTAAGAACATACAAATGAATTAACTTGATTTACTCATAAAATAATTGTTCTGAATTAAAGTTTAAAGGATATACACATCATAATTAAAATGCAAATGAATTAATTTTAAATGTTTAGTATTTGGTTGCAAATGAAGCTGTAAGGTAAACTGAATTTTAAGAAACAGATAATTGCTTAGTTTTCACCATTTTATTAAAAGCAGGGCAACGTTGAAAACATTAAGAAATCAATAATACAAATCAAAGAAGTAAACATATTCCCTGACATCCCTCCAGTTTCACCAACCTCCTCTGCATCAAGGAGATAAAGTACCCATTTTTAGAGAAAAACCCAAGGAAAAATAAAGTGCCTCTCTACAAGCTCAATAAATACAGCTTTTGCTCCTAGGAATTTCAACTAATTTATGTTTAATTTTTACTCAGTTATAATTAGAAATGTAAGTTTATAATTTGGAGATATACATTTCATTCAACTATATTCACCAGTAATGTATGCCCTTCCTTTCCCTGGAGGAAATAACTTTTTGAGTGTGTTATTCACCCAAGTGGCTGAAATTGTTGTTGGATGTAGGTTAGAGTAAGGCAAAGTTAAGGTGAGATTAAGATGGGTCAACTCCCCTCCCCCAGTTTTGTTTTTAAAAACACCCTGGTAGCTCCCCACTATTAAACAAATATGTATGTATGGTTTATATAAATTATGAAAACTAAGTGTATTTCAAGAGAAAAGATTCAAAGTTAGATGCACCAAAGAGCTCTCACAGGATACTTCCTTTCAGCAGCTTTGTGGATCTCAAGTTTATAGGACTAGGAGCCAGGTTCAATTTATCTACCCCCCAAATAATTTGGATTTCCTTATTACTCACTACCCTGAGCTTTTGAGCAAATAGAATTAAGCATCAACTTCGAGGCATTTCTGTAGTTACGGATCTCTTTTTCTAGTACCTGGTTCAGTCAGGAAAAGATGAAGTTAATCTCCTAGGCTACTGCTTACCTCCTGGATCCCCTATCAGTCAGTCACTCAGTGGTCTCTCTCACCTTGTCCCAGATTTTGTCTAAAGTTGTCAAAGATAAATCTTCACTTGGGAGAAGGCCCAGAGTGGCTTTTTTTTTTTTAAAGAAGTTATAAAGAAAAACATTTCATCATCAGCCTTTCTCACTCCAGACTCAGTGGCCTCTTCCTGCACGCCCCCTTCCTCAGCAGTTTGTTGATCCCTCCTTGCTTCCCTTTATGTGTCCATAGCTGCGGTGAATCTGATGGTGCTGATGGGTTGGATTAACTACTTCTATACCTGAGGAATGGGTGACCATCCACTGCTTTTGTTCACTTGCTTTAAAAAAAAATAGCATCTAGAAATGTGAATCCCAAAGGACTGCATGGTCATCACACTTTGGAAGGACTTGGAAACTAAACAGGGAGTCTTCCAGGATTCCAAGTTAATGCAGCTTCTTGCAGGACACTTAATGCCAATTCAAACAGCTAAGGTAGAATCCACACAAGATGGCAAAAATGCATTTCAGTGCCACCAAGAAGCCCATCCCGCAAGTAACATCTTACGTTTTTGTTGACCCAGCCCTCCCCTACCACTAGTAACTGCATTTAACTATTTACAAATGTGACTGATTTTGCCCATCCCACAACATAAGTAAATAAGAGGACCACACTTTATCGAATATAAATTTGTTTTTATTGAAGCAGCAGTCACATGACCTTATAGCTAGTCTTTAGATTAGGCCTGACAGTTTGCCAGTCCTAAAAAATGTTTCTTTTGCACTAAGAGACATAACATGTTTACATACATTATCCAGTATTAGCAATGAGCAGACTCAAAAACAACATGTTGGTTACCTGGGAGGTAAAGCCAACAGTTTGTGGTGTTCATATATTTTACAGAGACCCCCAAAGACCATTACTAATAGGATAAAAGTTAAAGAAAATACAGCTACACCAAACCATGAACACACAGTAATTGAAGACAGCAGCTCTTACACATTTTTACAACTGTCCCTTTTAGGGACATTTCCTTTGTTTTCAAAGCAGTGTCTACAAAGCTTCCTCTACATCAAATCCAAAGGTTTCCAAGCTGGAAGCTGCACCTCTTGTGGCTAATACAGTGGAGTAAGGTCATTTGAAACAATGAGATGTGGTGTTCATACCTTGATTTTTTATAATAAAGATTCATGTTTCCCTAATTAAAGATGGTGATGTGACTACTTACTGCAGTGGCAAAATAGGGTGAAGAGAGGGATGGGTACTGAAATAAAGACCACACACTTGTGAATTTTAATTTCATTTCCAGGCTAACCTACTTTTTATTTAATGCAAATTACAGTACCAGTTAACTATTTCCAAACCAAGTCACATAGAACAAAATGTATTTACAAGGGAATGGGGGAAGGGCAAAAAAACATTGAGCATACTTTTCACAAAGAAGGTTTATATTTAAAATGAAAAAAAATTCAGTCACAGAGGCATTCAAGTAGTAATAATGTTATACAGATTTTGCTTTTCCTTTATATCAAGACAGATTTGCACAAGTGTTTGCAATAGTTTGTATACAACCCACAGTCCTTTATATATATATATAATAAATTTTGTTTTTTAGATTCGTATTTAAGATGGAAGTGGTCACGCTAATTGGTATGTGTACAGGCCCAAGTGATCCATCGGCAACACACTTATAAATGCAAATTTTACAGGCAAGCACATTTTCATACATCTATCTGCCTGTAGACAGATATAAGAAAAAAACTTAAAAATTAACACAAGGAAGTCTACTTTGTCAAGCTAACCCCTTATGTACTGGTTGTCATTTTGCTTTTATTGCAGAGGTGCAAAACGGAGCAAAAACTCTAATAATAAACAGCATAATCCTTGTGAAAATAATCCAAACCCCAGGGATTACTTTCATAGCCTCTAAGGAAGACCTTAATCTGGGACTCTACTGTGCTTCTAGTTGTCTCTTTATTTTCAGTGGCTCAGGTTTCTACCAGAAAGACAGGTTTTATTGTAGAGCATGCTTATTTTTCTATAGAGGGGAGAAAAGTGTTTTGTCTCTGTGATTAGATGATCACTAACATGAACAATATGAATCAGGTACAATTTTGGTTTAAACTAAAGAAAAACCCCCAAACTCCTGGGGATCTGGCATTGGCCAACTTCCTTTGGAAGATTCCAAAGTTAAATCCTTTAAAAAGGAAAGAGAAAAGAAATGAAATGCCAGTGTCTTTATATCCACAGGGATAGAGAATATAATAGTCCTCTCAGAAACCTTAGCATTGGTGCAGATGAGATGATTAGTTAGGCATACTTTATTCAAACACAAACCAAGATGGGTGTAAAAATTAAGAGGACTTTTAAAATGACACGTCATTGGAAAGAAGGTGCAGTCTTCTACCTTGCTGGAATGAACACATGATGTTTCAAAAATAGCAACCTTTGGTTTGGTAAAGTGTTTTTTTCTTCTATTCAAGACATTTTATATGGAGTACTTGGAGGCAAAACAAAAAAATATATATATATATATTTTTTCCAAAAAAGGCCTTCATGTTGGGCACACAGTCAAAATTAAACTGATTTAAAAAATTAAAATGACATGTCATTGAACAGGGTAGAGATGGCAGGAGGGAGAGAATGGGTTGAGTTCCCTTGTTAGATCAGCCTTCTATGGGCATGGTGGCATTCTGTGCAGTTAACTGCAAGCCATTGCAAGAGAGAATTTTAGACCATTGATGTATCAAAACCCAATACTAAACCAGTTTTCTCTCCCTGTGTCATTTGGGAGGGAAGTCAGTAAGGGGGCTGGTGCGGGGAGGTGGGGAGGGAGGGAGGAAGAAGAGTGAGCGCCTGCTCGAGCATGGAAGGCTCCTAGAATCTGCTGTTTGTAAAATACATGGTTAGGGCTTGTGGAAGAGATAAACAAAATCTAATCTATTGATATCCTCCAGCTCTAGGGCTCCATGTGTTATACTAAGTCCCTGAATGGACCAAGTATCAAATGAAACGGTCATTGCTACCGAGGAGAAAACAGACATTCAGAACTAAAACAAATGCAGGGCTTGAATAAAATGAGATTATGAACATGGTTTCCTCTTCCCACTCCTGAGCATGGTATCACCGAAACTTAATTTTGGAGGGGGCAAAGATATTGTTGTGAGTTATTATTTCAAAGGGAAAGGGGATGGACAGGGAGACGTGGATAAAGGAAACCAAATAAAAATTTTTAAATGAAAAATAAAAATAAAAACAAACAAAAAAACCAAACACATGGAAGCGAAGGCACTCCAAACTATATAGATACACTATACATTGCTAGAGTTATTGTTACAATAATACAGGCCGGTACCTACTGTACAGAGTTAAAACTATATGGCTTTAAAAAGCTCGTCTACATTTTGTCTGATTATTAAACAGAATCACTGCCCTGAACAGTAACTTTTTGCTCATTAATAACAGTTCCTGGGTCCACATATTTACATACAAAACAATAAAACTTAAATTTAAGAACACTGAAAGAAAATATAATGTACAAGCTTGAATTTGGTGAGGAGCTTTTAATTATTATTATTATATTTACAAAAAGATATCCAGAGACCTGGATCTCACTTGTATAAAAGAGTTCTGTGATCCCGCCATGATCCGTGAGAAAGAAAAATCATGCACCCCGGCACGCGCGCGTGCGTACACACACACACTCACACATTCTCTCTCTCTCTCTCTCTCTCTCTCACACACACACACACACACACACACACAAAGTGAGAGAAAAGCATCTGACTTTTCTCTCTTCTTCTCTTACCCCATTTATGGGGGGAAAAGTGTTTCCTAAAATAAGTACTGATTTTTATGGACTCCAGCAAGTATACCAAGTCCAGAGTAGTGTTCGTATCCAAACATCTGACTGGGCAGTTTGATCTGAAAACAGGTCCATTTCTCTGTCATAGACCTACCTGTTCAGATTCTTTATAAATCTTTTCTGTAATGGTCTATAGTTCCTTTAAGGAACTATGCTGCCAAATACTTTCAGATTTTTTTCAATCTTAACTAGCTCTCAGAAGCACTTTATAAAAAGTAAAATTCACTATTTTATTTGGTTTGACTGAACATTATCTTTTCTCATGAACTCTGATATAACAAGAGGTTTAAGAAACCCCTTTTGTGGCCCAAGAGCTTAGCTAAACAGTGAGTGAACACTAAGATGGCTCACAGTTGTCTTTCTGGGTGTCAATTCACTTCAGCAGGCAGCATAACTCTCTTGGAGAGTTGCACACAAAGTCAAGAAGCAGGACAGGGTGCAGGGCCTGCACTTGGGCTGCCAAGAGACTTCACTTCCTAACCACCTGGAGGGCGAGACCCCAACATAACCTAAGTGGCAATGAGGAGGGTGAAAGGAGATTATACACAATCTAGAGTTCAGCTCTGCAGCCCTACAATTATCAGCTAACCTTGGAAGGTGTGTGGGGAAGAAGAGGGCAGGAGGAAAAAGTGGCCATCACTCAAGTGATCTTTTAAATGTAAAATATAACTGATTGTGCCTTAAAGATTCATAGGTCAAGTAATGGCCCATAAGCACCAAGGTGACTAAGGTTCATTTTAGAGTATATAAGGCCCACATAGATACCAACCTTAATAAGTATAAAACAAAGTAGTTGTGAAGATCTATCTCTTTACTGCAAACATAATTCTTCAATCTTCCTTGCTTTCCAAGGAATATTGCTTTTTTTTTTCCCCAAAAACAATAGACTGATTCTTACACCATTCACTGATAAAGAAAATAGAAACAAAACTCTTAACTGGGTGTGTGTGGGGAAACATTCTTCTCATGCTTCAACCAGTCAATTTTGATACTGGAGACAAAAAAGAAAAGGCAGTATTGAGTATCTGTATATATAACTATATACACACATTTATAGCATCAGTTTCCCTATGAAGTCAGCAGGTACGTACAGGTGACTATATAATTTTGATAGGTAGTTTTTAATATTCCTACCACCTAAAATCATAATGGCCTATTGGGCATGCATCAATAAATAAATTTTAAAAGCATGAGGTTAAAAAAGCTAAAATTAAATAGAGTCTAGATTTGGATTTAAAATTATAACTATGTGTAGAAGGTGGCAATCCTAAAAACTTGTTTGTCAATTAGAAAGATGAAAAATAAAGCAGTAGACTGTTACAGTTCACATTACTTAACTATAATGTTGAGAGACAAGTGTATCTTTCCAAGGGAAGTAACTTTAGAAAAAAATCTGGATGAATTCATTCACAGTGGTGAGATCTGCCCCAGCCTGTGTCCTTCCTCTAGTCTCACCAGGTGCCTTTGACCTGTGCAGCCAGTATAGCCTGTTCAACACCCTTTCCAATCCCCTTCTAGGTCACTAATTTAAAACTGTACAAAGATTTGCAGAGAACCTTTGGTTAGGCAAAACAAAAACAAAAACAAAACCCCATTATGGAATTAGAGTTCTGCTTGCTGCTCCCCTTTGGGAGCCTGCTATACCAGCTTTCTCACCACTAGTACTGACTAAGAACAAAACCAAACTTAACCAATCAATTCAGTATCTCCCCCTTACAGCTTCAAACTTTATTGACCTACCTGGGTTACAAATGATACACATTTCCTTTTTTGTCTGCCACACCTGCCACCAACATGCCAAAGCCAAGTCTTCAAATACCCGAGGATTTGGATTAATTTTACAAGTGACATGTAAGCCCTGTTGAGTTATACCTGCTAAGCTCCCAACCAATTTCAAGCTGTGCACTATGCCAAAGTCTGACACTAGACTTGAAAAGAAAACAAAGTTCAAACAAAACAAAACAAACACTTCAGTACAGAACAAGGTTTCTTCTCTTGTGGAAGGGGCATGAGGCAGGAGTCCTGTTTTTAAAGTGTACAACAGCAGACTTTGATTAAAAAAAAAAAAAAAAAAAAAGATTGTCGTGGGAGAGAGATTGTGTCTTCTAGTGCTCCGCTTTCCCCCTCCCATTACCCCTCCCACCCTCTGGGTCTCCCGCAAAGTGAGAATACAATGAAATTGTTTTGTATTTATAGATATCTTACAAGGTTAAATAAGAACAACAATAATAATAAAAAAATTGAACACTAAAATGAACAGGTTTTTTTTTTTTTTTCTCTTTTTAATTTTCTTTCCAAACGTGACCAGTGTTGCTGAGTGACACTCAAGTACTGGTGGTTTTTCCTGTGCAGCTGACTGCTTGGGACTGTTCAGGTGGAGTTGGAAGCTGACGCAGAAGCAGCATTATTGGTCTGTCCACGGTCTCCAGCATTAGCATCTGCAAATTCAAAATCCCAAGAGAGTATGAACAATGGCATAATTCTCTAAAGAAAACAAGTACATTGCCTTCACTGCAGACTGTGAGCTGTTGTGGCCTTCCAAACTGTTTTCTGGCATGTTGGTTTAAATATGGCCAATAGTTTGACATCTAAATTTCTTCCTGTTTAGAAGCTAAAGTACATGACTTGGCAAGGTCCTGGTGCAGAGGAGACAGTGACTTTGATTAAATTATCAACTCAGGGACTCAGAGACCATTCCTGTGAATGCTCTTACTATAGCTGGGATCAGCAGTTCATGAAGACTCAGTTGGAGAGGGGCTTACCTGAAAACAAATGAATAGCACATAGCTTGGAAACCTTACTAAAAATCCTGAATCATGTTATTATATACTATCTGCTTGGTGAATGGATGAAGAAAATGAAAGTAATATGGGTCAGTGTTGATAGGCAGAAGTACTGCATATAAACCAAACACAGTTGCTTGTTTTCTAAGTATAGCCACTCTTCATTATTCATAGAGATGAAAGACAGCAAAAAAGAAATAGTCACTATGGTACAAATTTACTTAATACAATACAGTAAAGCATCCTGTAGTCAAATATGTTGGACTAATAACTCATCTTGCCTGATCCTCTACAAATGTGTATATTAACAACCAACTTTTATCCCCATTTCCCCTCTTTTAAAGAACCATTATTATTTTATAGCATCCATTAACTAAATGGCCATCTAGTTGTTTCCAGATTGGCTCTCCATCCTGGATAGGGAATAGCCTGCTATTTCAGTGGTTAATCATTTGCCTCATACACAACCACCAGGAATATACTGTTGGTCAATTTTTCTCACAAAGATTTCATTTTTTTCCCAGAGAAAGAGAGGTTGCTTGACTGGGATGGGCAACTTCCAAGAGCTATATCTCCTTAGAAGCCACACTGCTCTTGGTCATCAAGGCTGGTAACACCAAAAAGCAGACCCAGAAGCTTTTGTCTGTCAGGAACCTTTAAAGGGATCTGCAATCACACTTGTCCTATGATAGGCAGAGTAACCAATGTCACAGATGAATGCAAACATCTGGTCTTGGATCTTTCTACTTTGAATTTCTGAATTAGAGTGAGACACAAAGACCCACAAGGACACAAAGGAACTTTATTACTTAAGGATTAGCTCTTAAGTTATCATTTCTATAGCCACTCTATATAATACTATATTTCCTTTCTAAATCTGCCCTTATATACATTTAACTCAATCTTTGGGGGAAAAAAATGAGAATACCTCTTAATTTGAATGGTTATAGTTAATTCATTTAATTTCTTCAAAACACCTGCAGCTGCTTCTAGTACTGCTGTTGTGTAAATTTACAAGTACAACATCAGAGTCCATGCTAATGGTTTATATTGCCCATGGCTGGAGTCATCCTAATTCATCAGTATAAGGTTCCATGAGTAAGCTGCACGAGAGAGCTCGGGACACAGAACTTACTTTTCAAAGACAATTAGGTGAGCAATTAGGTCTAATACCTCATTCATGAGCCCTGGCCTTCCATAGATATGCTCAGTTCAAAGGGGTGGTACCATCCATGTGCATTCAAATTCCGTGCACTGAAAATCTAACATTAATTCCTCCCTAACCACAAATTCCTTCAAGCCTTTCTCAGGAAAAAAATACTCATTTTAATGATTCAGGGACAGGCTGCATTAAAAACATTCCAGCAAAAGCCTCAAAGACCACAAAGTTATTTCAGAATTCTAATGTTCCACATAAATCCATGCTTATTGTTGCATTTCCTGTGCTGTGAATGACACTCAGGACATGATCATCATCAAATAATACTTACCTGAATTTCAGCATTAGAATATGATTCTCAGAACTGTTATTATGGTCTTCAAACCCAAGACTTAAGAGAGAGGCTATCAGGAATTCATTTGTGTTTGACTACTACATCATCATGCAAACTAGCATTGTGAGCAGCCCTGCCCATGGTGGCCATTAGCCATGATGGCTGACACTAGTTGTTTACCAAGTTCAGTAAACACCTCACCTACAAGGCAACTTGTCCATTTATGTTAAATTTGCTCTTTTGGGGCTGGGGTTGTGGCTCAGAGGTAGAGTGCTCACTTAGCATGTGAGGCACTGGGTTCAATCCTCAGCATGACATAAAAATAAAATAAAGATATTGTGTCCACTTATAACTAAAAAATAAATATTCAAACAAACAAACAAACAAACAAACAACCTGTGATCCTCTTAAAAAAATTTTGCTCTTTAGCAGAATCCTACTTAGCTAGCTAGCTAGTTTTCAGATTATCCTTTCACTGGTGATCACCTAAGAGCTTATGACAGTGACCAAACTAGTTTACCCTTCTTTGGAGAAATTCAAAAGCTGTCTATATGATCATAATAAAAATCACAGGCCTTTCATGTGAACATATAATCAGAAATGAATTCAGTTTTCAATCAGTAAAATTTGACAAAAACACTCATGTTCCTCAGAATTATAATTAAATGACCTCATATTTTTCTCAGAATTATTTCCAAGTCATTTCATGAGTAAATTTTAGCAGTTAATTATTTTGGTCACACATACTCTTGAAACCTGAAGTTGCCCAGGCTGGCCTTAAATTTACATGTGTGTATCACCATGCCTGGCTTACACTGATATATCTTTCTTAATCTAGTCCAATTCCATGAACATTTATGAATATAAAGACAATTTGTGCATCTTAACAGCCTTGTGATTTGGGAACAAATTATTCCACTTTTCTACCTTAAATTTCTTCAATGGCAAAATGGTAATAATACTTCCTGTCTATAAAATAAGGCCTCTGAAGTATGTGCCATAACATCTGGCATGTAGTAATTGTTCAGTAAACAGAATGGTGAATGATACATCTAAAATATATTTTTATTTATGTAATATATATTTTCATAATCTAGTGTGACTACAATAACCACAATCACAATAAATATTAGTGCCAGCAAAATCACAATAAATATCTGGGTGCTTGCTTACCAGTGTGCTACACACCATACTAAGTACTCTGTAGGCATCACATTTAGACTACATAGCACCTATGAGAAATATGTACGATTATCTCCACCATTAGGCAAACAGAAAATATAAGTCATAATGAGATTAACATAACTAAGACCATACAGTTAGTAAGTGGAAGAGCAGAGCACAGAGGACAATGATGACCTTTATGGGCAATAGGGGACAGCAGAGAAGATTTCCTAGCAAAGGGATGGAAGAGTTTAAAGGGACTTTTATTTAGAACTAATTTCCACAAAATCCAGTGTGATTTCTAGAGGTCCATTATCGAAAAGAGTTATATTACATTAAGACAATATTTAATTTATAATAAGAACTAAGCATATAATTAATTTATTTTCTAATTTTCAAATAGTCTGTATGGGATAGTCTGGAAATGGCTCTAGAGATGACATTCCACAGACCTGAAACCTTCCTAGAAATAATTCTCATTATCATCCTTTTGATGCTACTATGGAAAAATAACTCTGTCCCATCAAATCTAGTATAGATTTGAGAGGATACAGAATTATCAACTTTAGGGGGAAGAAGCACAGGTAGGAAGGTACAACATCATCCTTACAGATTGTGGTGGGTCACCTTCCAAGATAATCCCAATGATTCATGCCTTTTGGTGTCCAAGCCCTAATGCAGTCCCTTCCCACCCTGGAAATTGTCAAAATGATGGTATATGACTCCAAGGCTAAGATATAAAAGACATGTGGCTTCCATCTTGCCCTTTCTCTTGGATCACCAGTTCTAACAGAAGCTGGCTATCACAATATGAGATACAGAGAGGTCCACAAGGTGAGTGGTAACTAAGGCCAGTGCAGATCTGCTAACCACATGAACAAGCCATCCCAGAAGCAGATCTTTCAGCCTTAGGCAAGCCATTAGAAGACGAAAGGGTTGACATTTTAACTACTTTATGAAAGACTCTGACCATACAGCTAAGCTGCTTCTGAATTTCTGACTCACAGAAACAACATTTATTCTTGCTTTAAGTTGCTAAATTTTGGGCTAACTTGATATGTAGCAACAGATAACTAATACATATGTATATATCAAAGAACTTAAATGCCATTTAGGGTTTGTGTTCACAAGCCTATGAAAGTATCACTAAGTCCCTTAGATGTATACCTAATAAGCTGTATAAAACAAGATTATATCAGATGAACAGTTGTTTTTCCATGAATGGTTTTGGTTCTAAGGCTTTTATATCAGACATTACAAAGGAAATTTGTGCTTTCATTTTTTTAAAAATTTTTAAAGCGATAGGGTCTTGCTATAATGCCCTAGCCTTGAATTCCTGGGCTCAAGTGATCCTCCTATGTCTGTCTCCTATGTAGCAGGGACTATAGGTAGGTGCTACTATGCTAGGTAAACCCAATTTTTATTCCATGTAATTTCAGAGGTATAAACAAAGACTTGGGTAATGCCATAGTAAAGCCAAGGGTAGAACCTGCAGCTGCCAGGTTTCTAGCTGAGTCCATGAGATTGAGATTTTTATCCTACATAAAATTTTATATGTAAAATTCTATATCTGGTACACATATACTTTTTTCTAGGATATGATTCATTCCCTACCCCCATCCCCAACCCCAGATTCTCAGAGGTCTGTAAGTGTTGATAGTTGGGGAAACTGTCCCACCTAGAAGCCCAAGTCATAAACTCAAGAGTTCTTGCCTTGATTCCTCATTGCCTCTTCACTGCCCACCCACAATAAACATCACCAACTCCCATCCACTTTTCTTGCACCTAACGTGATCGATCAAATATGCAAATGGAGAGTGGAAGGAACAGTGAATGGAAGGTCTCACACTTAAAATTGTTGCCAAAGTTTTAAATAAAAAGAAAGTAGAAATGAAGGAAACATGTTGGGAGGACAGGACAGAGAACAAACACAGGAGGTGGGGTTCCAAAGGCTCTGCTATCATGAATCAGTATTACAGAACTGTGGGTTTAAAGATAAAGCTTTTTAATTTATAAAAATGATCATGTGGGCTGGGGCTGTAGCTCAGTGGTAGAGCCTTGCATGTGTGAGGCACTGGGTTTGATCCTCAGCACCACATAAATATAAATAAATAAATATATTGTGTTCATTTATAACTAAAAAAATATTTTTTGAAAAAAAAATGCTCATTGTGTGGTCCAGTGGCAATGACAGAAATGTTCTATTTGCATTCTCCAATAGGGTGGCTCTTAGCTACATATGGCTACTTAAAGTTAAATAATAAAAATTAAAATTTAGTTCCTAATTTGCCCTAAGCATGTTTCAAATTCTCAAAAGCTACAAAAGTATTAAATATTATAATTTATAATAGAAAATTATAAAGTGATTTATAATTACTTTATAAATAATAGAAATATTAAAATAAATTAATATTTATATTATTGGCATATTAGCAAGATAGAATATTTTAGTTAATCAAATTAGCTTTTTTGTGTTTACATGTACAAGTGTGTAAATACACTTGAGAACTTAAGTATACTTTGATTCCTTTATTTCCTTTATTATACTCTTCCCAAACCAATCTTTCTGAAGCTGATTTTAAGTGTGTTTCCACTCACCAGACAAAAATGTTTAAAATGTTTAAAAATGCACATGATAGGTCAGTTCCTCTAAAAGATAAAATTTTGATAGTTTGAGATGTATTGTTTATTATATGCTGCTAACTTAAGAAGCTCCTATTCAAGCTATTCCAAATAGAAATGCATCTATTGTAAAACCATGTTTAGGATATTAGTGTCATTCCTGGTACAGAACAAATAAGACTATCATAAGAATCAAAGTATAGCCTAAGCTTATGTTTAATTGAAGTAATAAACTACACTAATGAGATCAAAGTTTCACCTACAAGGAGGCATCAATTTTCATTTTTTTCCTCTTCATAATCTCTACTATTATTTTGTTAATTTTGTGTATGATAATAAGGGAAAAGGAGAGGAAATTCACCTTAGAAATGCATCATCAACTCTTTTTCCTATTCCTAGGAAAGATGTGGCACAAGATATCAAGCTAGCCTTTAGTCAGGAGTCAAATTCAGATGCCTAAAGCTCCAACCCTCCAGGATACACATTTTATAGATCGAGAAAACAAATAAAATACTTATTAGTAAAGTTCAAAGGATTTTCTCCAGGTAGCATGTGCTAGTGGAAATGGAGCTAAAAGAAACTTTCTTTATAGAATTTTCCTGGAAGGTAGGACATGAATGAGAATGAAATCTTTTTAATATTTATTAGCAACATTGTAAAAATTGATTAAAAAGATTAAGACTGGACAGAAACTGCTTTACTTCAGACAATAGGAGATGGATTTTGACCATTACTGTTGAGTACTAAGAATTATAATAAAAGATTTTTTTTTTAATTTCCTGCAACATAAATTCCCATAAGCAAATATGGTCTGATCTTTTTCAATGTGACAACTAAAAGAAAATGGCGTAAGCTTCTGCCACCAGTTTTTTTTTTTTTTAAAGGGGGGCACCAAATTCTGAGCCCCTATTTGTGTTACCTATTATGTTTCTAATTTCATGTAAAATAGCATCCAGCCATTCTCTGGAGGAATTCAATTCATTCAAGAATTAGGGATTTTCAAAATATTTGTAACGACAGTGATTCTCATGAAATTAGGCCTTGCTATTAGCTGGCTTACGGACCAGCAGCACACTCCAATTCTAACTTTGTAGTCTAGACAAGAATCTAGTCACACCTGGAGCTAAAACTTGGTTAAATATATTTTCATTATACCTTTAGCCCTTCCAAATAATTAAAAATTATACCAATCTATATTGTATACTTAAAAATTTGCCTCCTCAGTATATTAATATCATTAACATTCAGGGGATAAAAAGAACTACAGTGAAATATCCTAAATAGCATTATATTGTACAAACTGTTTTCTGTTATAAGCATCTCATTTGATATATATTAACCAAGAAATTAATTAGATATTTATATCTTATATATAAAGTATATACATGAAGTATTTATGGAGTGCTTTTATCTTGTGCACTTTGGAACTAAAGCAGTATTTTATTCACTTTTACTCATTTGGTTGTGCCTTTTTGGATATTTAAATGAAATTGTTTATACTTATCCCATGAAATGAAACAGGGGTAATATCTTTTTAAAAAATAGAATATATTTTTATAGAAGACACTTATATCCTCACCTGAGGCTGCTGTGGCATTTGTAGGGGTGGAAGCAGCTGCTTGAATTCGGGCATGAGGAGGAATAAGGATGGTAGCCAAAGGTGGATTACTTGACAGTTCTAGAGAAGATAAGACACAAATATTAGAGCTCACTCTTAAATATATATGAAATTATTGTATTATTAACAATAAGATACCAGTCTAACAAAAAAAGAAGACATAACGAACCTATATCCATCTCAAACCATATCAATGAGCTAGTAATCAACTTACACAGTAAGCTCCCAGAAACAGAGCTTATTCTATCATTACTCTTGTTATGATATACAAAAAAATGCTATCTGCTAAAATTAAGATATGTCTGAGAACTAAAAAGTTAAGAGAGTAAACATATTAGTAAGATAAGTTTCCATCTTGCATTGACTTAAATATGCCATCCAACTCTGGTAGTACTTAACTACAGAAATTGAAAGTGAAGGTTTTATAACAGGGAATATAAGTGCAGACTATTTTGTGTCTGTATGTGTATGCACATGTACAAGTATATGTACAGGCTAACCCACCCAACTATCTAGATACTACTAAAAGCAGGCTTTAAGAAACATCTATTTAAAGTCTTATTGCTTTTTTAAAAAATTGTGCTGTAACACAGAGCTACATCCCCCCCTTCTTTTCATTAAAAAATTCAATCTTTATTCACAAATATTTTTTGAGGGTATTTTTGTGTGCTAAACTCTTCTAGTGCTGGATTACAGATTTAGACAAGCAGACAAGGACCAGATGCCCCACTAGTATAGGAGCTGGATGGTTCACAACTTGAATATGCCATGTGGCAGCAGGTCATACAAGGTCAGGTGGTGACAGGCTTTGAGGAATACTGTGAGGCCAGGGTTGGGAAAGGTGGCCATTCCCATTTCTGAAAAGGCTGTTACAGAATATCTGCAGGGATACAGTGCTAAAGTTCTTAGGAGACTTCACAGGGTATGACTCAGTATGGCAGGAACCAATGCTTATTTTTTTTTTTCCCCTTTTATCCCAGATTTCCCCAGTTCTTTTTATTTTGAGACAGGGTCTAAGTTGCTGAGGCTGGCCTTGAACTTGCAATCATTCTCTCTTAACCTCCAGAGTACCTGTGATTATAGGAGTGCACAATGTGGTCATCTCAATTCTATATTTTTTAACTTAAAAAAAAAAAAAAAGACTGCTAGCTTTAAGTTGTGAAATAGGCTTTTTACCTGTATGTGATAAGGCTATTTCCGTCCACTGCATAGATTAGCTTTCTTTAAAGAATCAAGTTCTGTACAGGTACCTTAAGAAATAATTATTTTTAAGGTTTGGAGATTTAGATCAGTGGCACAGTGCTTACCTCCTAGTACAAGGCCCTGGTTTTAACCATAGGAATTAAAAAAATAAAAATAAAAAGGATTGAGCCTAATATTATGGATCGGACATGTAATGGTGATGCGTGCTCTCTTTCTAATACACACACACACCTTATATTTTTGAAGATCCTAAGCTATTTTAGTCAGTCAAATTTCAACATACAATATTTTACTTAGGAAAACAAGCAAATTTTTGATAACTGTAATGGCTTAATATCTTTCTGATTCTAGGCACATAAAAATATTAATGTAGTATGTAATAGTTATTCTTAATCAACCTGAAAGAAATTTAGATTTACCATCCCCATTAAAATTAAAATCTTCTAAAACAGACTTTTAAAAATTTCATCTATCCACCCACCTCCCTACCCACACACCCATTCACCTAATACTGAGCATAAAATAATATGTTAGGTTGCAGAATACAGACAGAAAAAAGACAATCATCCTTGTCTGGTCAATGAAAATAGAAATGTACAATTGAACAGGCTGGCAAAAGAAAGGCATTCAACAACAGAAAAAAGAACAGTGGAGTAGACAAAGGGGAATGAAAGTGAGGGGAAGAGGGACAGAATAGGGAAAGACAGTGGACTAAATCTGACCTAACTTCCCTATATACATATATGAATACACCAGAGTGATTCTCACCATCATGTACATTCTCAAGACACTAATTTTAAAAAACTACTATAATAGCAAAAAAATCAGTAAAGGAAAGGAAACAGGGAGGGGAAGGGGAAGTACTAAGGGCTGAATTAGAACCAATTATATTTCATGTTTTTATAACTATGTCAAAATAAATCCTATTGTCATGTATAACTAAAAGAACCAATTAAAAAAAAATAACAAAAAAACAAACTTGGTGAGACCCTGTCTCAAAAAGGGTATGGGTATGGGTATGTGGCACAGTGGTTAAGCATCCCTGCATCCTTAGTGTTATGGTTTGGATGTGAGGTGTCCCCTAAAAGCTCACATGTGAGACAATGCAATAAAGTTCAGAGGAGAAATGATTGGATTATCTTAGCCCTGGTAGGGTGTGGCTGGAGGAGGTAGGAATTAGAGTGTGGCTTTGGTGTATGTATTTGTATCTGGAAAGTAGAGACTTTCTCTACTTCTTGATCACCATGATGTGAGTTGCTTCCCTCTGCCACACACTCTGCCATGATGTTCAGCCTTATTTTGAGCCCCTAAAACTGTGAGCCCTCAAACAAACTTTTCCTCCTTTATAGTTGTTCTGATCAGATCCTTTAGTCAGAGCATCAAAAAAACTGACTGAAATACCTGGGTTCAATCCCTGGTATAAACAAACAGAAAAGATCTCTGACCATATGTTCAATATATAAGAGGAAACATGAAAAGGGAAAAGATTACCAGAGATTTTAATGCATGACAATGAAACAAACTACTGTCAAAATAATCTTCAAAATAAACTGGATATCGGTGATTAATGGTCACTTTCCTTATGGCTCACACTGTTATTTTCTCCTACTCATTTACATTCTCTTACCAGATCCTTACACCTGTCCTTCTGTGTATCTGCATGCCCAGCTGAGAGCCATAATGGTTTTCTATCTTAGTATAGGGTAAGGGTATGTATAATGGTGTGTATACTGTCATTCTGGCCTTGGATAGGGAGAGATGGGTAGACCATAAAGAGCAAAGAGAAGAAAATAAGAAGCTCTGGGATCTAGGGAGGTTTTGCTACATCCAAAGACCTGAGAAAGAAGGATAGGGGATAGAGAACTTTTTTCAGTCAATCACCCTAAAATTTAATTGTTAAGTTCTAAAATTTTAATCACTGCTAGTTCTACATCTATCCAACTTCTATACCCCATTGTTCTTTTTCCTCTTCCTTAATTATAAGCATTCCTTAAAAGATCCACTGCTTCCATCTGTTGGTTATTTTCTACCTTAAATAACTTGTTAACTGGCATAGCTTTTGCTTATGTGAATGAAGAGGCCTTCTTAAACTTCTGCTACAGTCCTGTTCTTGTCACGAGTCTGTACCTTTTATGGTGAGAGATCACGGGCATTTCCATGGGACTGTCACAATTAGTCCAAAATAGCTTCATTTGTTTTTCACTCCCAACAATTACTACCTACTTTCAAGCAGTCTGTTTACTCATGGGAAAAAATAAGGAAACAGAGGCAGCAAGTGTGGATACAAACTGCAGTGAAACAACAAAAAACCAGTGGCATTTTGGAGGAGAGAAATAGCAAAGCAAAAAGTCCTTATCAGGATCAAGAAGAATATATATGTTTGAAGCAGAGAAGGAGTGTGAAGAAATTGAAACTGAAAAGTATGCTACTATTTGCTAAGCATGGATGCCAAGCTTGAGAGTAGGGAGAAAATGAAGGGAACAAGGAGGTTCAAAATATGAAAGCAGGGTTAACTTCGGAGAACTGAGAATTCAGAAACTAAAAGACAGGCAGGGTCTGAGCAGACTAACTAGTACCTTAGAGACATGATTAAAAACAAAAACAGTAATAGGTTTCAAAAGACTAGAAAAGTTAATGCATGATAAGAATTTCTTCAATCAACTGGAGACACCAGGAAAACAATTCATCAAAAAACCAGCATATGGGGGCTGGGGATGTGGCTCAAGCGGTAGCACGCTCGCCTGGCATGCGTGCGGCCCGGGTTCGAACCTCAGCACCACATACCAACAAAAATGTTGTGTCCGCCGAGAACTAAAAAATAAATATTAAAAAAATTCTCTCTCTCTCTCTCTCTCTCTCTCCCTCCTCTCTCACTCTCTCTTTAAAAAAAAAACAAACAAACAAACAAACAAAAAAAAAAACCAGCATATGCAAGGCCCTTAAATCTTTCATATTTAATGACAAAGAGAGAAAGGAGTATGTCAAAGGTCATGAATTCCAAGGTCTAGAAAAGTCAGACAGGTTTGATATTCTCTTGATGCTCAATCCTCAGCATCAGAAAAAATAAACAAAAAATAATCCTGCTAACATTTTGAACTCTGGAGAATCAGTCTAAGGCTTTCCTGTACTTATTTATATCATTAATTTATGTATCTCTAATATGTTCTACATTGAAGGCTTTAATTTCTCATTTTTTTCTTTGTCTTTATGGAGTCAATTCATTTTTATAATAAAAAATTTGGAGATAAAACTTAAATATTCTTCAGTCCAACTATATAATGATGAATGATGATGACGATGATTTTTAAATGAGAAAACTCAGGCAGAGATAATCTTTGGCCAAGGTCTACAACTAACAACAACTATTCTCTAGTAACTAGTTAGAGGACACTAGACATTAGGTGATTCACTCTTTTCACATGCAAAGCTGCACTTCATTACTGCCTTGGTATAATGTACACCACCAGTAATCTGGTTCTTCCTGGAACTCTATCTGTCCAAACTACATAAAGAACTTTTAGTCAATGTATTAATTTTCTTGAGTGTTCCTATACCATTCCACATTCTTCTTAGTAGTATGTCTGAAGCAGTACAGCAGACCAAATAACCTCAGAAAAAATTACAGTAATTCTCAAATAAAATTGACAGTTCCTAGTTTAAAATCCTTGAATTGAATATAGTTGAATATAGTCAACACTATCTGTCCTTACTACTATAGTTGCCTTTCTCTTAGTCTATTCATAAATTTTCTCAAGCTCTCCTGTACTGTATATACTGGACTCATATTTCAACAACTAGAAGAATATAGCCTGATTATCTAGAAATTTTATGCTAGATTATTTATAAATTAAAGAATA